TCCCAGCATTCAGGGGTTGGGTGGGAGGGGGCAGAGGCAGGTGGATTTCTGTGATTGCAAGGCCAGCCTGGTCTACATAGTGAGTTCCAGGGCAGCCAGGGCTATTACACAGAGAAACCCCGTCTCAAAACAACAACAAAAGATTTAAAAAATTAAAAAAAAAAAAAAAGAATCTGAATTAAGATGAACATTGCATTGGGCTGGTAAGATGGCTTAGTGGGTACAATAGCTTATCACACAAGCCTGAAAGTCTGTGCTCAGATCTCTGGAATCCACACCAAAGCCCAGCACAGCAGCCCAGGCATTTGTAATCCTGGCAAAAACTGCAGGGGAATGGGAGGCAGAGAAGGGAGAATCTGTAGAAATCTGAGGGCCAGCTAGCCTGATGTGTGCAACTGGAAAGAGCCTAATGCTAGGCCCAACACCCAAAGGTTGTCTGTCCTCTGACTTCCTCAGTGAACTGTGGCACATGCATGCCCATACTCACACACTCTTAAACAAATCCGCACACATGTATACACACACACACACACACACACACACACACACACACACACACACAATGAGTATGGTGCACAACATGGAATAAATATTTAGACAAAAACTTCCTGTGGAGGTCAATGTAAACAACTCCATTGCTTGGCCTAGATGGAGCCTGAGCAGACCAAGTACTAGCAGAATGTCACATCTGCAGCAGTCTACATCCCAAGCCAGGTCTATCTCCGTGCCTCAGTTTCTCAGGCTTGAACATAACAAATGGAACAAGGGAGCGTCAGTCAGCACACACAGGTATAAAGGCAATCTTTTTGCCAAGTTTCAGGCCTACGCCCAGCGCTTAGCAGCTTTGAGTAGACCCTTGTCGTCTTTCCCCCATCTACTTAGTAGATGGGCAGGTCATTTGGGCAGATATTCTGGATACTGTAAGTTTGCCTCTCACATGGCCAGGCACAGAGATCCAACTTTTCCTTCACCTAAATTATCATGCATAGAGGATTGATTGGTGTGGCCACACCTGAAATAAAACAAAACAACAAAAACAAACAAACAAACAACAACCTTGGCATTAGGGGACAGTAAGCTTACTGCTACCCTTCCTTCAAGATAGTGGGACAGCCCTCAGAGCCAAGGTGGTCCAGCTTGAGGCTTACCAGGCGAGATTCATCCAGCCTTGAAACCACAGAAGCCTGAGTCAAAGGAAGGAGTTCGACTCAACTCCAATGTCTACCCAGGTGAAATCCCCCATTTTCAAAGAAAAACCCAAGGTCACAGCTGTGACAGTAGCCAATGAGGGGTTTTCCTTGTTGCTACTGGGTCACCTCTTTTTCTTTCCAAGCATTCCCCACCCCCCACCCCCACCCCCGAACTCCCGTGTTGACCCTTCTCTTACCTCATGAAGCTTTGAACCAGCAGATTATTTTGGGAAACCCAGAGCAAGCCAAGCCAAGCCAGCTCTTTCCTTTTTCCTGTTTCCCTTTCTTCTTCCCTTTTCTGGTTTATACCTTGGAAGAGAGGAAAGAGACAGAGAAAGGCAAACAGACGGACAGATGAAGAGGGGCAGGGGAGAAACCTCCAGACCCAGAAGAGAGAAGGGGTGAGAAGCAGAGCTTGAACTTCTCTGATAGGCTGTGAAAACACGAAGGAAATGCAGTGGGCCAAGATGACCCCATCTCCTCCCAGCTTTTGAGTCCATAAGCTTCAAGTGGAGGTAAACTGCTGCACACATCTGTCAAGGGCACCAAGTCAAAGAAAAACACCTTCCCTCCATCCAGTCCCCACTCCTATGTGCCACATTGGTTTGGGCTTGGCTCTGACAGTATGGCCACCACACATGTCCCCCTGCACACACACACACACACACACACACACACACACACACACACACACACAGTGGCTCACACCATAGCAGGAAAGTGAAGGTCAGGACCTCCTCTGAGGGGCCTGTCTTTGTTGCTGAGGGATTTGTCATAGCAGACAGCAGCAGTAACCCTGTGAGCAGTGACCACACTGCTGACTGAGCCATGTGAGAACGGGGGTGACTGAGTCTTGTTCTGCTCCCTATAAGTGCACCCATCTTAAAGCTGAAGAAAGATTTTTGAAAAAACGCATTTTCACTGATTTCTAATAATGCCAGGTGCAGAGTGGCAGATACAGCCTTCAGTGAGGGTGGAGCAAACCACTGTTCACATGAAGAGGAGTCCAGTGATTGTCAGGTCTAACCTATTACCAAGAAATAGGTCAGCTCCTAACCAAGGGCAGAGCTACAAATAAATGCAGTCAACCCTCGCATTTCGATGGGGCAGGATGCACCCTGGGAACATTTATTTCCATAATTGCTTGCTCCACACTCAGTATTTGAAAGTCACAGAGTGGAGGAGAGAAGATGTGAAAAAAAAAAAAACAACCAGAAAGCTTCAGAGACCAGGGTCCAGGACACACACAAAAGTTTTCAGTAAACAGGAGATGGCAGAGATAACACCAGAACAGAAGAATCCGGAACTTCAAGTTTGAGAAAAAGAAAGACCTTGAAATTGGGAAGTTCAGCTCTTAAAGCAGAAGCCAGCTGCTGCAGGGTAGTTGATAAGGAGTACTGATAAAACAAAACTGCTACTATTGTTTATTTTTAAGAAAGAAAGAGAGAGAGGGAGGGAGAGAGGGAGGAAGAGAGGAGGAGGAGGAGGAAGAAGGAAGGAAAGGAAAGAAAAGAGAATGAAAGAGAAAAAGGAAAGAAAGAAAAAGAAAACCTATGCTCTGAAAATCCCAGGGCAAGAAGGCAGACTCAAAGCAAATCTCAAGCAGATAGAGAGATCTTATTCACTGGCTGTCCTGCTCACTGCATCTATACCCCCTGTGCTTATTGGACTGGCCAAGGACCTTGCCAAGCAGAACAGAAGTCCCCTCCCCCAAGCCGAGCTCTCTACATCATCAATCCAATTTCCTGTGTCTCATTCTTCATGAAGTAACCTTGGGCTATAATGGGTTAATTAGTTAAACTATCCTAATTTGCTAATTGGTTCTTATGGCACTTATTTGGGGAAATTATACATTAGTAATCACTCCTTGGCTATTTGACAATGACTGAGTCACTTAATATCTTCAGGCTTCCATTTCCTTAGCTTAATTAAAATAACGGAGTGAACATAATATCAAAGGCACGGGGTGATAGTGAAAATCCAGGAGGGCTCCCAGGGGCTGTTTGTGAGGCAAGGTAGGAGAGATGGAAGAGTGTCTGAAGGAAATGAATATAGCAGCAAAACTGCCTGAGAGACTGCAAGCTGAGCATAATTATTACTGCATCCTCCAGGGGTAAGGAAGAGCCATGCAAAATGTCCCTGAGGGGCTCGGACTTCCTATTATGTTTATTAATCATCTTGATGAAAACGGAGAGTCTGCATTGATTAAATTCACTAATGATCCTAAACTGAGCAGGGGAGTAAATTCCAGAAAGGATGGATTTATAAGGTAAGCGCTAATATTAATCAGCTCGTCTTCATGAAATGGGTGGCAATAAATGACATAGGATTCGCAGTAGCAAATGGCAATGAAGTATACCTGGGAGGGAAATATAATGAGGCCAGGTCCAAGCCAGGAAGCAGTTATTTTGGAAATGGTAAGAGAGCGGGAGAGGGGAAATGAGTAATACGTTAAAAACAAGCTTAACGTAAACTCTCAAGGTGGATCACCATCTTACTCTCAGTGCTTTGGTGATGAATATTGGAGAGTGGAGTCACAAGAACGGCAGAGTTAGAAGCAACCAGGGAAAGAAGTGTCACATCTACAGGTGAGGGGACTGAGGCCCAGAAAGGTTACTTGTTAGGAACTAGGTCAGAGTAGTAAAACTCAGTTTAGCGTGCTCCTTCGCTCAGTCCCCCGTGTGGTGGCAGACTATCACTCCCTCTTACAACCTGAGTTTATTCTCGGAATCCGCAGCGCTGTACTGTGCTCTCTGATTACTTAGCCATCTCTAACTTGGGCCATTGAACTACACACTGGCAGAGCCACAGCTAAAATCCAGATTTGATTTTGTCTACTGCTGCTTCCTCACCCTCTTAAGTTCTAAAGTGTCAACAGTCAACACCAACTATAACTTCAAGACTCAAGCACTCAGCAAACAATACTGACTTCTTAGCCGAGATTCTGACCTTGGCCTCTACCATACTCATCTGAGGTCTCTTGGTCCATATTCATTTTTTTTTTCCAAATTTGTTTAGGTTGCAATATAGGGACAACAATGAGAAACATCAGTAGCTTCAGGCCAATGAGAGTTGTACACTTGAGAAACACATAAAACACTTTGTAAAAGGAATCCATGGAATACAAATATGCAAAGCTTCTGCTACAGGATTTGACAAAATTAATAATCTTGTTTCAAATTCCCTGAGACTAATGAGTCTTGGTTTTCTCTTGGGGCACAGAATAAGTTTTATTTGTGCAAATGACATGTTTTTGAGAGCGATCCTATGTGTACCAGGTCAGTTTAGTTCAGCCGGGGAGAAAGGGAGGGAGAAGATTCACCTCATCAAAATCATGAGGTAGGTAAGGCTGTCCATTTTTCAGTTCCCCATACCCCACTTTCAGTTCCTCTCCCTGGGAAGCTCACGGTGCTGCTCCTAGCAAACACACACACACACACACATACACACACACACACACACACACACACACACACCCCAGTGCTGTCAGGCACTGAATACGGCAGTATTGGTCGTGTATTGAACAACTGTAGGGGGTGCCACAGGAATTCGGGGCAATGTTCTCAGCCTCCTTACAGACCCAGATCAGTGCTCCACCTCTCAAGGCCTTCCGTCATTCCTCTCTCCCCTGGAAATGAACCTGATAACATCAGTTCTGACTCACTGCCGCACAGGCTAATGGTTCGCTGCCCAAGAATTTCCGGAGGACCCACCCTGTAGCCCAAGTGAGCGAATTACTTTAGTAGAAAATTTTAGTATGTGCCTGACATAAATTTCTCTCTAAGTATGCTGTCCCAGTTGTTTTGGAACATCCCTTAGGTCCTGTAAGACGTAATGTAACCAGCTATAAGCACAAAGTCCTCTATGCCAGCCTAATTTGCTAAGCACCTTGCAACATGTAGGGTCCTATCACACCATGACTGAGTGCTAAGAGACTGGGCCCTAGAATACATTAACCTAGGGTTCACCCCATCTCAGAGCTTGCAGAGGTAAGCCCATCACCCAAGTGTTCCAAATATACATCCTTATCTGAAGGACGGGTTTCTTGATAGATTTATCTAAGAGAATATATGAAAATCATCTAGTGTTTTGCAAATATCTTTGTATACCAGTAATTCCCTTTATCCAAGAAATACCCCCCTTCATCCATGGTTGCTACCCATTCCCTGTTACTTGTCATGTATGGTACTCATTTTATTTACCAAATAAACCAGTCAATTTGATCACAAATAAAAATAGGTTCAAAACCAACACACATGCCCAGGAGATGTCCAAATTACTATCTGTTAGGCTAAAGGTTCAGGAATGGATTCAGGTTTCATGGACCTTAATATTATTTAGTTTTAAAATCTTTTAAAAAGGAAACAAATAAATTCATACCTGATTATGACAAAATTATGGTGATGGGGACCTTTCCGGGGCCTAGAAATGAGGGGCAAAAGAGGACGGGTGTGTTTCCAAAGGTGAAAGGGAACAATCTTATGATCCACAATTTGGCACCTTGACTGAGCTGCAACGTGAACACTAACACGGCATAAGACCAAACATAAAGAAGTAATTATGCATTAAATCCACAGGCTCTGAGAAAGATGGAGGGTCATCAATGTCAGTTTTGTAGTTTTACATTTATACTATCGATTTTGCAAGATGTTGCCACTGGGAGAAACTAGGTCAAAGAAAGATTGTATTTCTGTTTCTTTCCCCAGCTTATGAACCTGCAATTATCTGAAAATAAAAAGTGTACTCTAAATAATTAGATAGGGGGTGGGGAGATGCCTCAGCAGGTAAGAGTGCTTGCTGTACAAATGTAAGGGACTGAGTTCAAATTCCCAACATCCATTTGAAAAGCTGGACATGGCTGCGTGGGTACCTGTAAACACAACGCTGTTGAGCTCAGAGGTGTGAGGACGTCTGGTGCTTACTGCATACCAGCAGAGCCCCAAGTTCAACAAGAGATCCTGTCTCAAAGGAACAAGGCAGGGAATGATCAAGCAGGATCCCGACATCCCCCTTTGTCCTGAATGAACACACACAGTGCACATACCTGCATACTCTCTCTCTCTCTCTCTCTCTCTCTCTCTCTCTCTCTCTCTCTCTCTCTCTCTCTTTCATACAGCACACACTCATGCATGCACACATACACGCACAATATGGATGGCAGTAAAAACAGAAAAATCTCAATATAAATTATGGAACAAAATAAAATAGGCCTGGGAAGGGCTTGTGCTAGAGAGACAGTGGGACCACAAGGTTTCCTAGACCACATGCGTCTACTTGAAGACACAGTGGCTGGATGAAAAGTGAGGCAGAGTGGAGCTGAAGCCGTTTCAAGACCTGAGTGAACATGTGCACTCGCCAGGATTATCTGTTGCCACTGCTTTTAAATACACAATAGGGACTCACCCACATAAATAGGCTGACTCCACTCGCCCCAGCTTCCAGACACTCTGCAAGATGAGCTCACAATTGCTCTCACTTGAATGGAGTATGTAGAAACATCATCAATTTTTGAGACGAATTTGTTGGTGGCCAGTTTTTCCATCTAAATGGGGGAAATTAACATTGTAATAATGCCTAGATAAATAATTTTTGCAGAATACCAGCTTGAGGGAGTCACATGCAGGTAATGTGTCTCATTATTTAGCAAGTAATCTAAAATCACCAGGGCGTAGTCATGAGTTTATTCCACACTGTTCCAGTGTGAGGTCTTGGCAAGTTACCCTGAGGGGGGAAAGTGATCTTATAACTAAAATATATAAAAGGGTCAGCTGAAGGACCAGGTGAAGCCATGTAGAAAAATTCACTTTTCATATGGAAAAATTGAAGTCACCTTCAACAATATGCATAATCTCTGTTACCTTGTCCTTCCACACTGGTAAGTCGTCGTCCTAAACAGCACGTGGTTTGTGCCTGTTCAGCCCTGCCCAGTGACCACAGCCTGTGTGGGTTTTCTGCTCTATTGCTTGGATGGTCCAAACAGCTCACATCCCGTACCCACTTAGTCTCCCTCACATCCAACCTTCACACTGCAGCCAGGATTACCCTTCTACCGTAAATGCTACATTTCTCAACCATGTAAAATCTTTTGATGCTGCTCATTGCCCGTGGCCCTGGTTTTAAAGTAGATGCTCTTTGGCTTCTAGTAAATGTCTCACGGAGCCACTCTGAAATTGCTATGTAAGTACAGAGTTACAAGTCTGATGTTAGCCTTGTGTTGAGGCCAGCTCAGTCACTACCCCTTGGCTGAAGGAAGCATGTACTCTCAAGCCTCTGGCCTGTTCCTTTTCCTCAGACGCCCAGCAGGCACAGCGTGGTTGTGAACTGGTAAAGGTCAGGAAATGCTGATTGCTCCTCTATGATAAGATCAGTGCAGACAGTGAGAGCATGGTTTAGAAGTGGAGAGCCATTGGACATTGTCGTGACAACATGATCAATTGGTTTGTATTTTCATGTCTTCAGCTATATTTGTTTTGTTTTGTTTTTCCTAGTTGATCCTTTTTAATGTTTATGAAAGCACTAATCTATGGCAGATTAGAAATTTACAAGAGAAAGCCAGTCCTTCATAGAGGATATTTCTGGAAACACACACTATGATGTCCTTCTCTTTTTGCCTCAGTCGTCAAGTTTCTGTCTGATGCCCCCAGGCTATGTTCAACTCCATGCTGTGAAGGATGACAGGGTTGTTTTGCCCCCTCTCTCCTCTGTACTCTGTTGATCTTTCCTATGGTGGGAGGCTCTGATGCCATTTGCCAGGGCAGGACTTATCTTATGTCCATTCATTTTTATTTAATTTATTTTTGTTGCATTGGTGTTTTGCCTGTATGTATGTCTGTGGGTGGATACCAGATCCTCTGGAACTAGAGTTACAGACAGTTGTAAGCTGCCACGTGGGTGCTGGGAATTGAACCTGGGTCCACTGGAGGAGCAGTCAGTGCTCTTATCTTTTAGCTTTGTGACTATAAGAAATTATTTGGCTTTTTTTTTTTTTCCGGGGATGAGGCTTAATAAAATAGGAAACATAATTACGCAACAGTTATTGTGGACAAGTTATAAAATAACACAATAAAACTCTATGAGTGTAACACATGCCCACTGCACCATTGTCAAGTGTGCAGGCCAGAAATGTTGAACAGACACACTGTTGTGCAACCAGACTGCAACACACTTTTCATCTTGCAAGTCTGAAGTTGGTCTCTGTGTGCATGAGACCCTCCATTCAATTCCCATCACCCAGTGATCAAAAATTCACACTCTGGACACTGTTCCCATTAGACAACGGTTCCTCATTTTCCATTGCCCATTTCCTGGCAGTCATTGTACTGCCTTCTGTTTATATGTGTTTCTCCACCCAGGGCATCTCATAAAGGCAGAATCATATACTATTTGTCCTTTGAGACCTGCTTATTTCACCTTGCTTGCTGTCCTTAGGCTCATTCATATTGTAGCATGTATCAGAATGTCCTTTCAAAGACTGAGGAATGACCCTTTGTACATATTAATATATATCCCATGTTGTTTTTCTATTCATATTCTGTAGGGCTTTAGGTTTGGCTTGTTTGTTTTCAGGTAAGAATCTTGCTGTGTAATCCAGACTAGCTTCAGATTTACAGCATTCCTCCTCTCTCTGCCTCCCTCCTGGGTGCTGGAATCACAAATGTGTGCCACCAAGTCTGACTCTAGTCATCGATTAATGGATGTGGGGGCTGTTTCAGCTTGTGAGTAATGCTGCTGTGAGCATGGGTATCCAAATATCTTTTTTGAGACCCTATTTTGAAATCATTTACATGCATACCTAGAAGTAGAATTACAGGCTCTTAGGATAATTGTAACTTCTGGAAAACTTGCCTTCCTGTTTTCCCCTACTGTAGCTGTATCATTTGTATTTTTAGCAAAGCTCTTTCAAATGAATTTCATTTTATCCTTTGTAATATTTTCTACTCAAAGTTTGTCTTTTCAAAATAAAGCTACTGTAAGATTTGATTTATTTCTGTAATACCTGGGGCAGATGTAAGTCAACATTGACTTTGTTGATACTTAAAAACACCCAGAGTAGTCACTACTGAAACTTTTGAATCAGTGGCTCTCAGACTGTGGGTTGCAACCCCTTTGGCACACTTCTATATCCCAAAATATTTACATTAGGATTCATAGTAGTAGCAAAATTAGTTATTTAGTAGCATTGAAAATAACTTTATGGTTGGGGATCACCACAACATGAGGAACTGTATTAAAGTGTTGCAGCATTAGGAAGGTTAAGAACCACTGTTTTAAATGCTCCACAAATAATGGATGTCTATCATGGAATACTGGAAAGATACTAAAAATTACCTGAAAGTAACCATTCTTTGTGTTGTGGATTTTCAATTCATAATTAAAGCAATGAACTGGAAAGGCAGAAACTGGTTTCTCCCACTGGATATAAAGAGAAGTTTCTTCGATCTCAACTGTCACATTCATTGGAGGATTCACTTGATCTAGGTGAGAGAAGAAAAGGTAGGTCAGCGGCAATTCTGTGAAAACAATGATCAGGGCTGACAGCCCCAAGCCACTGTTTCTAAGATATGCTTTTTTCAAGGTTTACCATTAGGTCTCAATCAACCAATCTCAAGCCACAGGAAGTGGATGGCTTCCCATGAGGTTCTTGGTGTGGCTTGTTGAATAGATTTACACATATAAAAAACAGAAATCACTACTCCACATGCAAGGGATTGATTGGCACCCTTCCCCTGGCAGCTCATTGCAAGGTGTGCCCAGCATCCCTTTAACTTTCCAGGTTAGACTGTGCTCATGGTCAGCACAGGGACCATGTGCCCCACATCCATTTCCCAGCAGAGGGATAGCTCTGGGAAAATCACTTCTCCTTTCTGGTTCCAGGGTTTATTTTTTGTTGTTGTTGTCTTGTTTTGTCAGATAGAACAAGAAGCTTCTGTATTAAAAGGGCAGATCGAGCTAAATATGTCTTTACAGGAGTAAGCACTTCCATACTAGCATCAGAGACTGAGTTTGGATTCCCAGCACCCAGGTGAAAACAGCTGTAACCTCAGAGCTAGGGGTGGTGGTTGGGTGGTAGAGATAGGTGGATTCTAGGGCCTCACTAAGCTAGCCAACCAGCAAAAATGACAAGTTCCAGATCCAGTGAAAGTTTCTGATCCCTACAAAATAAAATGGAGAAGCAATTGAGGAAGATATTCTAATGTTAATCCCAAGCTTCTGCATGGACAAGCACACCTGCACAAATACATATACAGTACACATACACATATGAAAAAAATGAAAGAGGAAGTGGGAAAGAAAAGACAAGGGTGGAGGAGAGAAAAAACCTGTGGACATATTGTTTAAAAGTCTAGAGATGAGTCCAAACCACTACAAAGGACCAATGAGGATTGGAGATGGTTAGCTTTGAAAGAAGAGCCACATGATGGAAAACCTGAATGAATACCTTTGGACTGCAGAAGGACCACACCTTGGGGAAAAGACTCAGAACTGTTCTGGGTATGATCTATTACAAGACCTGTGAACATACATTTCATGGAAGAAGCCAGAACAGATGAGTAGTGCCATGACTTTTCCAGGTGCAGTCATTCTCAACTGGGGAGAACTCTACCCTCAAAAGGATATGTTTAAGATCTGATTTCATCACAGCTCAGGAGAGGGAACAAGTAGGGAAGATAAGAGCTAGATAACTCATAGATAGGGGCCAAGACGACCACTAAACATCTTCCCACTCTCAGGACCGTCCCCTACATTTCCAAGTCATCCAGCAATTATGTAGAATTAAAGTTGGGATGCCTATCTTATTTTTTCCCTCATATTGATTGTATGCTTGTTTAATATTTGAAAGGTAGCAAGACCCTTTACAATGCAAAGATTCTACTATTCCATTATTCCAAAGTTGGGATTAGTGTCTTACCAATGGCATGTGGAGTGAACAGCTGATCAAAGGGCTTGATTGCAGCATGCTTGCTTGAGCCATTAACATGCACTGCAAGCTGCGCAAACCCTTTGCTGTTGATAAACGTCCTGGGAAACCAGCATGCAGTATTTCTGTCCAGTGCATCTCTGCTGTATTCCTGGCATTCTTCAGTCCAAACACCAAACCTAAATTGCAACACCCATGAGTTTTTATAAGGGAAGAGGAAATGGATAATTTGCATAAGTAAAAATAGATACTGACCTGTAGTATAGGAAATACTGTGTGTCCTCAGGGGCATCCTTGCCAACAAGCCAGGTGCAGCGAAGAGACACTTGGTATGGCCTTAAGTGGGTGTGACTACTCACAACAGTGTTTGTGGTACAAGTTAAATTCATAACCGAGGTTCCAGAAGACCCTAGGGGACCACAAATAAAAAGAACAAAACATTGCCATGATGGCTTATGAATTTTGTGCTTTTGTTTGAGATACTATTGATTGTGAGTGACCACAAACATCCAATTATAGAAACTCATTTGCAAAGGGCAAATTTACTGGAGAAATGAAACTAAAGCTATAAAGCCTCGGGTTTTGACATGAAAGAACTTTTCAGCTATTGTAGATGAAGCTGTGGAGGTGTGTCAGTGAGACGGATGTCTGAAAGTTCAAGTCTAGTGTCATGTGTCCAACAACTTGAGCACTCTAGTACTATATTTGTCAGTACCTGACTGTGAGGCATTTCCCCAAATGCTGCCTGAACTCCAGTTGTTCCTGCTGTAAATGAGAGGTTAGGTCAAAGAATCTCTCCAGAATCCCCTTCCCTCTTAGATTATATGAGCCATTCCTTGGCATCTATATTTCAAGAATCCCATGGATTACTGCTCAGGGGATGCATTTTGGCAATACCCCAAGATCTTACTATTATATTAGAGACCAATGTAAACAGCTTGCCAGCCTCCTTAACATACTATAACTTAAAATCTAAGATTCCAAATGTTTGTTTGCACTGGATTTCCCCCAAATTATGTTTGTGCTACCCAGAACACTCTGTGAAACAAAGAAGGGGGAAAAGGTATTTTGGGGGCTAGGGTCAGGGATAACCTTCCTAAAGAGGAAACTCTGAATAATGGAAGTGTTTTTATTTTTTCTTAAAACAGCTATAGATTAATTTGTATCACTGTCATCAAGTGTCTTTCATTGGACAGAGAGAGAGGGTGAGAGGAGAGAGCTTCCTATTGCCGTTTGGAATTTGGAGACAGAAAACTGGTTAGTTTGCCTTATGATACATACATGCATATTATATATGATGTAGACACATATGTATCTATAAAATCATGCCTCTGTATCTGTACTATTTGTTCCAGAACTTTCCTCCCATACTAAAACCTTCAGATGCTCAGGTCTCTTATATGATGCCATCTTGCATATGGCTTACACAGCCTCTGGTTTAGTATAAATCCTTTCTAGAGAACTTGAAATACTTAATGTAAGTGCTTAGTAAATAATTGTTAGACTGTTATTTAGAATAGTGGCATGAAACAATCTGTTTATGAACAGTATGGATGCTTCAATGCTTTTGTCGTAGAATGCTTTTGATCCACATTTAGTTGAAAGGATAAATGTGGAACCTATGGATATAGGGCTTCCCTCCTCACTCTGTGCATACATGTGTCCACATACTAAACATCTGCACAGTCTATGTCATGTCAAAGTAAGTCATCAGTTTCCCAGTTCCAATCCAAGAAATAATTCAGTATGGATTTTCACTTGGTTAGTGGCATAAATAATACTTGATTAGTGTAAGTGTGTATTGGGCGGTGGTACTAAGGGAATAATTAGAACTGCAGAAACTTAACACTGAAAGGAAAACCACATAGAGGAAGTTCAGTTGTTCAGTAGATGTGAAATAATGGCTTAATGCGAGGTACACAATGGACCATATTTATATTCATCTGTATTCCTTGAAGTACACTCCTTATTTAGGGGCAAGCCACTGGAAAATGATGAGTAAATGCACACATCTGTGTTGTTACCAGAACAGTTCAGGGTTTTTGGTTAAGTGTGCCCAGGTTCTATTTGTTAAAGACTTTGCTGTGCAGCTTATGGTGTAGTTGGGAAGTGGAGAGCCCTGTCTGAGTTGAGGTCTTTGCGGAGGTCTTTGGAGACACATCTTTAAAAGGGATAGATAGTTGGGCTCTTGCCCTTTTTTTGCCTCCCCTTGCTTCCTGGCTCTAGACCTCTACCACCTGCTTCTGGAAGGATATGCTGTGTTGTTAAATGGACTAAAAATAGGCCTGACAGGTCATGGGTGGAAACCCCCACCAAAACCAGAAACCAAAATAAGTGTATTATCTTACATATTTGTTATAGTAAAAAGAAAGCTGACTAATAATACAGGAGGCAGGATCTTCTCCAATGATGTAGCTAGGAGAAAGATTTGAAAAACACTCACAGATATGGGGCTAAAACATATATGATTTAGGAAGTCACATATCCCAGGGTCTGATGGTCTGTCTCCTCCTTTTTTTTCCGTCTTGTGTTTGTGTCACTCTGTGTTAAAATGTTTAAACAGAGCTATCTCTGCTTATGTGTATCAGAAGCCCCAGCTCCCAGTGTAGATATAGGGATGTGCTTGCAGGGGTGCCACAGGTGGACCTGGATGGCCTATGAAAGCTATGATCGGAATGTGGGTGCTATGAAAGATTAAAAGGAGATTGGAAGGTGTGGTGCTGGACTAAAGAAAAGAGGCTCTTTCCCATTCTGAGAAGTGTAAAATATGAAATTTAGATGTTCCATGTCTCCTTTACCTGATGGAGCTTTGAGTTCAGCAGAAACCCAACTGCTGGCCAGGAAAGAGTGACTTCTCCATAGGATGCTCCTCACACTAGCTGCAAAGCCATCATGAAGGGGGGCCACATATTTGCTTTCAGTCTTCCTGGTATTATACTAAAATAAAACCCGCCAGTCATGGTATGTAACAGAAAACAACATCAATCAAATAGGCCTTTTACTCCACTTTGAAAATGATAATAAGTAAAATGGTATGAAGTAATTTTCTTAGAAAAGGGCATCATAATATTAATATAGTTTCTCAATGACACATGAACATATTCCTCTTTTAATAACAAACACCATATTGTAATTAAAGCTCAAGTTGCCTTTGATTCTCATCATTAATGCCAGTCTCCTCTCTAGGAGTACCTTCTGGACAGAAAATTCTTTAAAATTTCATATTTACTCCAAAATGGTTAGTACAAATTACATGTCCCATTCTTTCACCTTACTACAAATGTGATGAGCAGTAGGTGTGTTAGCACATCCCTAGCATAAATCTGAGAAATCAACTCAAGACCCGAGGATGTAAACAAGGTAGTGAATGAACTTGGCCTTCACCTTGGGTTTTCTGACCCTGTACTGCTCCCTTGTACCATTTTGTTCACGACTTTCTTCTAGTTTTATTGACATTTTGGGAGATAAGTAAACAAGCAGCAGCAGTGAAGGGTAAGGTTTTTAGCTCTTAGCTAGTACTCTGACCTCTTGGGCTATTAACTCTGCATTTGGCTCTGTGTTTCTTATTTAATAAGACCGTTCATCTACAGTACTATCAAATACATCACCCTTCAAAAGTTGGTAAATAGTGTGGCTGAATCATTAAAGTCACTGTTGTGTGAGCACAATGACTTGAGTCTGGGTCCCCAAAACACATGTAAAATTCAAGGCACATGACAGCATGCACCTGTAACCCCAAACACTGGGGGTAGTGCAGAGAGGTGGATCCCTGAAGCCTAGTCGAATTGATGATCTTGCAATTGAATGAGAGGCTTCTCTCAAAAACAAAAGGTCTTGGAGAGGGATCAAGGAAAGCGTCAACCCGTGGCCTTCATACCCCTGCATACCTAGCCACCTTACATGTGCACAGACCTACACTAACAAGTGCATAACACACATGTACACTCTCTCTCTCTCTCTCTCTCTCTCTCTCTCTCTCTCACACACACACACACACACACACACACACACACACACACACACACGAGAGAGAGAGAGAGAGAGAGAGAGAGAGAGGTGGGGGGGAGGAAGGGAAGGAGGGAGAGAGAGACTTTCCTTGAGATAAAGCCTTCTATGCTACTGTTTCATTTTGAATAATAAGCATGTGTCTAATTCACTTTACAGGTCCTACTGGTAATACAAGAAGATCTTTAGTAATTGGATGTTCTTTATGAAGAATTTCACTTCATGAAGAAAAATGCAGTTTAAAAAATGAATATTCACTCTTGGTTTGGTTTTGTTTGGTTTGGTTTTGGTTTTGTTTTTGTCCTCAGACCCAGCACTTACCTCATCTTCTTGTGGAGCATTTATTTTCACATGATATTGTAGATCAGTAGTTCTTTGCTCTTGGTCAGGATTTGGGGCCCAGTGTAAAAGAACTTGAGCTAATCCAATGGCTTTAACGGTAAAATTGACAGGTGGTCGAAGTAAAACTATTGATTCAAAAAACAACAACAAACAAAAATGATCCAATGTTAAACTGTCCATTTTGTGTATGGTGCTGGGGGTACAACTCAGGGCCAGGGAATATGGGACAGATATGTTACCAGTGAGCTATATTCCCAGTCTTTAACAGATTTTAATTATTTTGTTCAGTAACATACTGGTTTGTTGTGGCTTATTAGAATATATGATACAGAAGTAATTTGGCAAAAGTTTCTTTAAAATGATTGCTAGTTCATCATCCAGGCACTACCTGTAACTTTCACATGGTTTTATTGGATATGAACAATCTACCATATTGTTATTCGTTAAAGGTGTACTTTTCACAGTAAGCATCATAATCAGTGGATGGGATGTGGTAACAATTTCTGGACTTCTAATCCATCTTCTTTTCTTTTCACAGGAGTATAGAAGATAAAAAGAACACACCGGGGTTTGGGGGCAGCATATGTCAAACATGAAAACAGTTGTCTCGTGGACATCTGGTTTCCATTGCATAAAAGTACCTACTTGTTTGTAAGATCAATGATTCACGATGTAAAATGTATTTATATTTCATTATGAGCCATGTCCTAAAGTATTTGAGTAGAAAACAAAAGGATTTGCTTTCAAGATAAAATATTTTATTTAATTAAGAACTCAGTACACATTGTAGAAATACTGCAAAACACAATGAGCAAAAAGAAGAAAGTAAAAAATTTCAATTCATGTCTTATTCTGTTATGTTTTTTCTGGAGTGTCTAAACAACTTATTAAAATTTTTCATCCAAACTCGGGCAACACTATACATTGTGAAACACAAAATCTTTAATTTATTCATTTTCTAAATTGTCAGTGTTTTCCGTTGACCTTTAAAAGCCCTTCATAACCCCGCACCTGTGTTTGACATGCAAGGGTTTCCAGGACTGCCTGTGTAGTTCACCTTTATTCCAACAGCCACTGGCTACTGTGGCTTTTCAGATCTAAATTAGCTAACTAAACCCCAAAGTTCATTGCTCTAGCTGCACTGTGTACATTTCAACTGTTTGGTGGTTATGTGTCCACTATGTGGACAGTGGCTATGTGCTAGGCAGTACCAAGATAGAATGCCATCTTTATAGAGAGTTCTAGATAGAGCTGGGCTGGTGCCATCAAACAGTTTTCCTCTCTTAACCTCCATCATCATACTAAACCCTTAGATCAATGAGTTTCAGGGGCAAAAAAGAAAAGAAAAATGGCAGAAGTTTATTCTTGCTTCTTGTGAGGCCTTTTGTGAAATTCCCAGTGGAATTGGGGGTCCTAAACATGGCCTCCAGAGGCTGCCTTCTTCCAGGATGCCCATATATACTCTTAGAATTGAATTTTTCACTGAAGTATAGAATTTATATTTCTGCCCACACTGATTTCTTAAATCTCAAGAGTTATACTGTTTTATAAAAACTTCCCAATTGAATGCTTATTTTGGAGAAAATTCCATTACCATTTTTATAATATACTTTAACAAAAACAGACATTATTGGATAGACAATCCTTACCCTTTTCGTCAGAAAGTAAGTCAGCTTGCAATGTTGTCCAAGCCCCCACAAAGATTAGTAACATAGACTGCATGATGGTCAAATCCTAGGGGAAGCATGGAAGACAAATTCCAGATCATCACATTGCCATTTCTAAGGAAAGCTGGCAGCTACTTTCTAACTTGAGATCAGTCAGTGGGTCACTTAGCAACTGCTTATAATCTATCTCTTTTGCTTGCTGGGAATGCAAACATATGGGGCTTTGCTCTTGGGTTGTAGAATCATCTGTTGGGACAGAATGACATGTAAATTAGTAATTAATTGAAATGTGTTATGTGTCTGGGGCACAATAGGTGCAAAGAGAATTCTGATTTGACTCACAGAGGGTGAATTAAAGTTCACAATACACACAAGCAGAGATTCCACTAGAGTCCACTGAGCAAATGCGTAGCGGTACAAGAAAAAGAAGAAAACAGCAGACTATTGATATTCAGGACAGTAGAGCAGGCCTCAGGATGGGAAAAGTTCTAAGTAATTAATAACAAACGAACACTACTAATTTCGTTCATATGTTTTTAAATTAGGGGCTTGGTGGTAGAGTATTACGTAGGAAGTCCTAGGTTTGATCCCACCACCCTTCCCCTTCAAGTCAATGTGACAAGAAACTTACATTGATAACAATTTGTAATGTGAGAAACATAAACTTCCATTTAAAGTCTGGAATAAATTTGTGATACTTTGAGTTTGGGGGAAGATGATTTATAGTCTTAAGGACCCAAATGAGAACAGGACAAGAGGCAGACAAAGAACATGATCAGACACTTGGAAAAAGTGTAAGTATTTCTCCCTCCAGAAAACAACTTGACAATGAGATGGATGGAAAGTAGAATGTTGGGTTAAGGGAATGAGGAAAAGCAGAGGGTCTCAGACCTTGAGTTCAAAGGGGAATGCAACAGCTCCTGCTGGGACCTGTAGATTAGAGATTTGGAGTTTTCCCAGAGATTTTCTGGAGCTTGACTTTAAGGATGAAAAGTGTGTGTGGCTTCCACCAGGGGTGTGCTTCCTCACTTAAAAAGAAAATTCAGGCATTTATTTATTCATCATGTGTGTGTGTGGCTGTATGAACTTGGGTCATACCTCAATCTTCAGACAACAAAAGATGCTCTTGCAGCTTGATAGTAATTAAAATGACTTACAGGGCTAGGTTGTAGCTCACTGGGAGAGCCTTGTTTAGAATATGAAAGACCTTGCTTAGACCCTTAACACTTTAACAATAAATAATTTTTTTAAAATAAATGAATCAGAGGTTTTACTTTAAAATGATTTAAATGACTAGACATTTTCCAAGTCTAATTCCAGTGCAGGCAAAGGAAAGATCTTCATTAAATGGATAAATTCTGAAAATTAATTCCAGATACTTTTGCTTCATTATTTAATCTCATCTTACAATATCTTAACATATTGCTATTACTGCCCAAGTTGGAGTAATAACACAACAGCCGTAAAGGGACAGCATATAGAAGTCATTCAACTCTTTCTTTCTTTTTTCTTTTGTTCAAATAAACTTTCAAAGTTAGGCCAGTTTTCACCGAAATAATCCTTTTTACTATTTCTATGACACTTCCACCCCATACAAGTGAATTTTTATACCAATCATGATCATGACAATGAAAACAGACACTGTAATAGTCTTCTAAATTTTCAACAAGTCAGACTTTTGATGAGCCAAAGGGAAGCATTTCTAATCCACCAAGCCTGAGAAGCTCAGCTAAAATATCTTTAGTAATAGCAAAGGTAGTGGCTGTCTCAATTATGAAACTACGTCTTCAGATGTCAGCGTTTCCCAACATGATGTTTAATATGCCCTACCTTCACTGGTTTTCATTAACACGAGTTCTAGGTCAGGGAAAAAAAATCCCTAAAAATTAATACCCTGTAGTGACTTTTACTGACTGGTAGAACAGGAAGTGTCTTAACGCAGTGCTTGTAAAAATAACAAACATCTGTTTATCCTTTCCAATTAAATTGTTGAAGTAAATAATGACTCGGTTGAATATCTCAGTGGGGAGGTAATTGAATATTTTATATCAGTAAACACTCTCCCCTAGAATTTACCTTGTATTCTGATTTTATAGCTGCTAAAAATAGAATTCTTTCTCAAGTTTTATCACTCAAACATTTTTTTACTAAGTTTTGGCCATAAATGGCAACACGTTTTTTTCCTGTATCTCCTGAGTTTTCTATGCCTTTGGAAAAAAATCAGTGTTCTATGGGCAGCACAAGGTGCTCAAATAGACCACAAATATTTCAAAGCCAGACAGATAAATTTCAGCAAAGGTTGGATGTTCCTGGAGCTTCAACATCTGACTGTTTCCTGTGATTAGCTGGCTCTGTTTCCCCAAACACCTCTAGGCTTCATCTCTGTGTGGCTGCTCAAAGCACACAAGCCCTTTGTAGGAGCTGTCATCTTTGGTTAGGGATAAAAAGATTCAAGCTCTTTGGTTCATACATTCAAAATTACACTATTATCAAATGAGCTATAAATCATTATATTAAAATGTAGTTATACAGTAGCTTTATTTGTGTAATCTCAAGATGACAATATACCTAACTCATTTCTCTTGGATATCAATTATAATGCAACCCAGAGCCATTACATTGTTAAATTAAGATGTAAATTTAGAAGAATAAAATAAATAAAGATTGCCTGCCTACAATTAGAAATACATGCTCTATCCTTGAGGGTGATCAGAAGAAATTTGTTCACGTGACATTTCTGTGAGTAAACTTAGATTTCTTGGGTGCCCTCATTAAAATTTGGAAGAAAACAGGAGTGTAGTCTTTCACATGACAGAGTTTTCTAGAAATGAAGTTGAGTCAGGCTTTTGCCATTGATGATGGACTTCCCCAATGTTCCTAAGAACCAGCCAAATTCTGCTGAAGTTCAGAAATAAAATTTTCCCTTTCCAATTAGAAGCATTCATTTTGCAACCAAAATTATATTGGTAGCCCTATTTTTTGAACCTTTGTGAGTGACTTGTGGTGACATCTAATTCCAAGCACAACCTGAATAGCAGAAATTGAAAAGCCACTGGGAAGATTCATGTGCCCTTTGAGAACATTACAAGGAAAGAATTTGTTTCCCTTTTTTTAACCCTGTACAGTATAGTCAGCCATAAAACCCAATTCTTGGATGGGGGGTGAATATGTAAACCAAAGGACATGTTTAGCTACGTACACTGTGTTACCCCCACAGTGAAAAACTGGACATGCTCATAAAAATAGAAATGAGCAACAGGATGACACATGCAACACTTTATTCTTCCCACTACTGGACTTCTGAATAATTTTCTATAATAGTCCTAAAATATCATCCTTAGGGTCAAGTTGTGGCCCAAAACACAAAACACTCCATAAATCCAGATGCAAACAGCTGCCACCCTCAATATTCTGTATAGAGAAGGCATTTGCCACCAGTATCCCAACACTTAAACACATCCTGCCAATCTCATTTGCCGCTAAGTATTATCCACATAGATGCTGTCTCAGTGGTGGACATACCTGTCTATGGACGATCCCTTCAGTTCCACGGGTTCTCAACATTAGAAGCCGAGGACCACAGCTGCCTGTCACGTCTGATATCGCATCAGAGCCCCAGCACCTAGCACTCTATCAAGCACAGGGCACATGCCTATTAGGGTTAGTCCTGTAAAGAGTGGGAACAGGTCAGTACCCAGCCCTGATGAGGCCAGGCAGGTCTGTTCAACATGAGCTAAGGGACAGCTTAGGCCAGCTGGGACTGCGTGGGGAACACCTAGCAAGCCTGGCTCTCTGCGTGCCTTACTTAAAAATTTCCCCACATTGCATTTTAAGTAATGTTAAACAAATGAGACAGTTTGATTTCCAAAACTTCATTATATTTCAAAATGTAAACTTAATAACAACTACATAGATTATTACCAGACAACTATGGAAGAGAACATATTAACAATAAAGCAGAAATAACAGGTAATGAAATGTTAATTATAATTCATTGAATTCTAATTTTTCCTGTCTTTCCTCTCTCTTTTTCTGTTTCTCTTAAAAAAAAAATTTTTTTTGATTCTTTTCCATCCACACTTTCCATGTATATGGAATATATATCTTC